CTCCTTTGTTTCGTATAACAGGCCATTTTAGGAACCTAATTTAGAATTACTTTCGAGAAATGAAAGCATTCGTTCAGACGTGCACTGTGTGCAGAATAATAGGGGTGAAATGTCCAAAACTGTTAAATTGGGACAAAGTGATTTTTCACCGCGATTATGCGAGGCCACATGTGTAATTAGGTTGGGAAATTTGATCACACCCGCTATATTCTCTGGATATTACCCCATCAGATTATCATTTGCTTCGTGAATTACATATTTCTCTCCTCTACGAGGAGTAAGAGTGAAAAATATTTGAATGAAAAACCGAAGAAATTTTACAGTGACGGCGTAATTAGTCAAAAAGATGGGAAGAAGTTGTGGAACGCGAGGGTGACTACATTCTTCCATAGCGTTCAAAGGTAAGTTTGAAATATTGATCGAAATGGCGCATCAATAAACGACAATAAATTATTAAGCAGTCTATTTATGGTAGTTATTAGCTCTTAACTTTCAGGTCAAAGGGGGAACTGTAGCGAAGTCTACTTTTCTTCACAAGCAAACAATAATTCGATTATGAAAGATTAACAAACCGAGCACGGTTGTGCATCTTCTAAAGAGATGTTTCGTTACCACAATTTCTTACTGAAACATCAAATAGCTAAACAACAAGTAACTATTACATTGGTGCATATGAAATGTTTTCTGAAATCAAACTTTACACACACTACCGGCCAAAAGTTTCGAATTTGCACGAGGAAAAATTGGTTAAAGTATTCTTAAAATTGCTGACTTTATTCTGGAAATTTTTGTATAACTTGCAATGCATAGTGGTTCCAAACATTTGGCCGGTATTGTGTCAATAATTTCCACACAATTCTATGCACCTTTCCCTTTTTCCAAGTATCAAAAAATCATTAGTCTTTGAATTCAAAAATCCTTCGAACGCTACCCTTACAGTGTCTTCATTTCAGAATAATTTATTCGTTAAAAAAATTCTTCAGGTGTTTGAAGAAACGATTGTCTGTTGGAGAAAGGTCGAATGAATACGAGAAAATATGGCAAAATTTCGTATTCTTTACCCTGGATTCTTTTCAATCATTTTTCTTCCCATTTTTTCAGTGAAAAGTAACCATCCTTGAATTTTACATACCAACGTTGAAGTACCCTAACATTTGCATAACCTTCTTCATACGCTGAGCTTACACTACCGGCCAAATGTTTGGAATCACTGTTCACTGTAAGTTACACAAAAATTTCTAAAAAAAAGTTAGCAATTTTGAGAATTTTTTAAGGAACCTTTTGTCATTCAAATCAATCGAAATGAGGTCAAGTGCTATTGGTTTCCACAACATAAATTTCAGGTTCATAAAGAATTAGTAGCAGATTCAATATTCATGTTAATTGACAGGTGATTCCAAACTTTTGGCCGGTGGTGTATATACTCAACAGCTGTCACTGCAGTTTTCCAAGTTTACACTTACACGAAAAAATGCAGGAATATTCCAACAGCAAATTCCTTCCTCACGACTACCGTGTATAAAAACAAAATTTAATACACGATATCGACCCGCCAATTTCAGCTGTTGAAAAAATTTTTGATTACCTAATAAAATTTGTATTACCATTGAAACGCCTCTTTACCGTTTAATGGTAAACATTTCGTGAATCCGTTGAAAAAGTACAAAATTGAGTTTCAGTTGTTTCGACCAGAGTGTAAATTCCTATCTCAGAGAATACCTTGGACCTTTACGAATTTCCAAAGGGCCATGTTTTGAGCACGGTAAGGGGACGAAATCTTGCCTTGGGTACTGCCGTTCAGACAGTAAGGGGCATTGACTTCTGGATCTGCAATCTTGCCGACCAGATCTGTCTGAGTCTTTGGTCCCAAGGGCGTACTGTAACCTGACTTTAGCCGATACATTTCCAAACGAAATACAATGATAAATAGAAAGAATCACCGATTAAAAAATGTACCATTCATCGTACTTACGAAGATCAAATTTTATTCGTTATCGATAAGTCGATTTTCTAAAAAAACAACCGACAAAAGTATCTGACGTGCGTATGCTATTTTCAACAGACCAGCTAAGATTAATACAGTGGTGAACTTAGTAACGTCGATCGTAATTTACGAGTTTGTAGGCTGAAGAAGATTTGAAAATCTCAAGATTCTGTAAAGAGTCCTACGAAGCAATACACAACCATCTTCTTATCTGCAATAGCTTGAATGTAAAGTTACGAAAAAGATTCATTTATCCTCAGCGTTGACTGTCCAGAGCAGAAACTCGTTGAAATTTCAAAGCATTTATAATCTGAAGAAGATTTGAAAATCTCAAGATTCTATAAAGAGTCCTACGAAGTAATATTCTTATCCAGGTTGGACGTAAAGTTACGAAAAAATTCCATTTATCCTCAATGTTGACTCGTCGAAATTTGAACTTCTGAAAACTCCGGGAAATTTGAAAGCACCGATACGCGGGAATATGAACGAGAAATTTCTTTCCATTGAGAAAGATCGTCGTCCAGTTGAAGAAGATCGTTGGTTCCCGACAGGAAGATATCCTATCAACGTTGATGCAACCTCTTCGAGCCGAAGTTCTTCATTATTCATATGGAGCCTATCCCTCCTCTGCGCACAGCACGCTCCTTCTGTCTTCTCTTACTTTCGTCCCTTCTTCCACTCTTTCTTTTGCCTCCGTTTTTTCTTCTTGGATGACAAAACACGACTTCACGCTGGTTCACTCAGGCATAAACATCGGGATGAATTTTTATAGCGTGCCCAAAGAAATCAAAACCACATCAACGAGGCTGACAACGTGCATTAATCGCACCTTGAAAAAGCACACGAAATATAGCTGCTAACAGCGAAAGGTGCGATAAAAGATCACAGGGTTACTGCGGATATGACGAAGCATGCACACACACACGTGCTTTTCCTTTTCGATAGAAGCGTATCGGTGAGCTGAAAGACTGGAAAACCGTCATGCTGGGTAACATGTTTATATGTTTATTTATTGTCAAGCGTTTGCATACCTTTGCTGGTAGTTAGATTTGCAATGTAGAATAAAATTGGATACGTGATGAGTCGCGTAACTTGTCCACCCTGGGTAACTTGCGAAGTATCTGTTCTATGAAAAAGTGTTTTACATGGAAATTGTACGGTATTCGAGGGAAGATATCCTCAAGTGGTATTTTTAAGTAACGTATTTGTTCATGAGATATTATCGTGGTGACTTGGAATTTTTTAAATGAAACGCGTACCTTTTTGTGACAAAATTTAAGAGAGCAGGGAATTTTCTATGAGGAAATTATAAAATATAAAAAAAATAAAATAATAGTTTCTATGAAATTTTCTGTAAATTATACGATTATTAGAGAGAAAGGTACAGATCAAACTGTGGAATGGTAAAGAAGTGGGCAATTTCGGTCCTTAATCAAGAAATTGCACAGGTGTATGGATGTGAATGGGTATCACTTTGAACACCTAAGTAGTGAGACCATGAGCAACGTTTTAATTATTAAATTTGGCTTAATACTTTCATAGAAAATTCACCGCTCCCTTCAAAGTTCCCTTCCTAAATAAATGTATTATTTAAAAAAAAAACGTATGTTCCCTTAAAAAACACTTTTCTGCAGAACACATACTTCAGAAACTATTCAGGCTGAACAAGTTACGTGACTCAGCCTGTATAAAATCACTTTTTAACTCCTATTATTTTTATACTTCCCATATTGTTTTGTAAACATATATAAACAAAATTTTCGCTTGTCTTCTTCGAGTTTAGCGTGAAATTTTACACAGAAAAGCACGATTTGCATCGTAACAACGTTACAGATTTCCTTCGAAATAGTTGCGGTGAAAAAAAGCAGTTGGAAAGGATGCTGCGCCACTGCGCAGTCGTATGTGGACGTGGGGCAGTTTTAATGGCACCCGCGTGCGCTTGGGTCCCAGAGGCCCAAACTCGAGTGAAGGGCCCCGAACGAAACACAGTTCGGTTCATGCATCTGCATATAAATCACTGGTTGGACAGCCTTAAAAAGCCAGGGGCTATTGCCGACCCGCCAATAACCGCGGAACATCGCCTTCGGTTTCTTCCGACGGTACGGTTAAAATCGGCTTCCATATACTTGCCTTTTTATGCGGATCCTTGGACAAAAACCTCGAAGGGGAAAAGAACGATCGCGGATGTGGTAACAACTTCCTATTCGGGAACGGCGAAATGTTATAATTGAATGTAACTGCAATCACGGAGAAAGTGTACGATTTATAAGTTCTTCCAAGGGACGCCCATCCGAGTGATGGAAGCTAATTTTAATCAAATTTCGCGTACTGCTAGAAAATCCGAAAATATTCTTTGTTATCGACTGTTACATTTAGGGGGTGAAATCGCTCTTTGAAGTTGGGGCTGAAAAATTAGAAAGGATTAGAACAATTCGAGAATGAATTGAGAGAGGGGAAAATTGTTCAATCTTGCCGAATTTAGGCAAGATCGTAGATAGCGCCACCATAGCTGGAAATATACTTTTTTGAATATTTTCTATCAACTATAAAAGAAATCTCACAAATATATGTTTTTCCCAACTTACGAAAATTATTATAAGGTGAAGAAAGATTAATAGCTGTTTAGCGTAAATGCAGTATTTCATTTGACTTCTCGTGGAATTTGAATAGTGAATTTACAAGGTATTCCTCGCGAAAAATCAGACGAAATTTATATTTAACATTTCTCTCTACCTGAATTCGTTTTCGAGTTATTAATAGGTTTTCAACCTCCAACTTTAAAGGATGACATAAAAAGAAAATAATAATAAACGTCAGATATTTTCGAATTCTCTAACTATACGCAGAATTTTATAAAAGTCAGCGTGTATCACTTGGACGCTGCACCTTGTCAGTGTTATCTAACGAAATTTTTTCCCATTACTATATTATTTAAACATATAGTCGTTGAATACTGCACGAAACAATGAAAAGTTCTTAGCGGTAGAACTTTTGTTTTCGCGGTAGTTTCTATTACCTTTGCCTCCAAGGTTTCTAGCTGCGCCATTCTCGGTTCTAGAAGCTGCTGCTGCGTCCCAGCTCCAGTATGCAGAGCAGTCTGAAATGAATGAGAAACTGAAGTTATTGGACGTTAGGGTTTATGTTCTCGTATTGATTTTTTAGGTAGTTTGCATGTGTATGTATACAAGTAAATTGGAGGAAAATTTCAGAGACCACAAATCTTGAAACGTGTGCAAACTACACATATAACGTATAAAGTATCACTTGCTCCGGAGATTGTGCACTCACAAATAGATATTATTTAAGATAATTCGGATTGAAGTACTCTAAGGATTTGTTTTTTATGAAACACTGGACTATTGCATAGAAATGTCTAGTTGCATTGTAAGAATAATATATGAAAATTCTAATAAGTAGGTAACATAACCTATTTCTTCTTTACAATGTGAAATATTCTACTATATCAATTCACGTGATGTTCTTTTTTATCCTATGCAAGTGTATTGATCGGGGCATTCATACCTTCCGAACGATGCAGATTTTGGCATCATAGAAATGGCATTGCGAAAAAAGAATTTTCTGTACACACCACAGGATTATTATGATGTAATAACACAATGTAGAAAACATGATAAATTCATTTTACATGAAATGAAACGAGAGAATTTCGTTTCAATAAAAAATCTTCAAAATGCAATTAAAAAACAGATAAGAAAAAACACTAATGGAGAACAGGTAAATTGGTTGCAAATATGTTGGATGAGGTTTATCAAAGGTACACCACAGGATTATTATGATGTAATAACACAATGTAGAAAACATGATAAATTCATTTTACATGAAATGAAACGAGAGAATTTCGTTTCAATAAAAAAATCTTCAAAATGCAATTAAAAAACAGATAAGAAAAAACACTAATGGAGAACAGGTAAATTGGTTGCAAATATGTTGGATGAGGTTTCTCCAAAGGTGCACCATACACTATTTTATATAAAACATCGATGAAGGACAAAGAATTTAAAACTATAAATTTATTACCTACACGTCCTGGAAGACCGGTAAAATTTCAAAAAATCGCCCCGGCGCCATTGTACCAAGATGCCAGGCCTATTACTTATGAAAAATATAAAGACATCAAGCAGTTATTACCTTATATACCTCCGGTGCATCATGCATATTTCAAAACACTGCCTGCCACATGCAGAGCATAAGTAAATAATATCAATATCTTGTAATTTTAACAATGTAATTAGCGTTTAAAATTTAAAATACTACTTCTATTTTATATCGTGTCATTATTTGTAAACAAAATTGGATTAATATGAAGTATATTTTAAGTGATATTTGATTTTTCAAAATTGAAATTAAACGATTTTTACAATTGTCTAATTTTGAAAGTGGTGTAAGTCCATTTGCAGCCCGTAAGTATACATCATTTTAGTAAAATACGCCTAAAAGAACTTTATATAACCAAATTACATATTGATAAAACAGTAGAAACATTGCCAGACTTCATATAATTTGCCTTAATTTTTTAATTAACAGATATGTTAACCTTTAATTTTCTTGAAACAAGAGAAAATGGACTTACACCACTTTCAAAATAAACGGTCCAAATATTGACAACAATTGAAACGGAGATTTTATTAATTTCATCGTGTTGAAAATAAACAAAGCAGAAAGAAAGGTTGTTAAAATGTATTTTATGTGTTTTACTTATTTCAGATCAGGAAGTTAGTGAAACTACGGTAGAAAACGTGTGAAAGTCGCAAAGTAACAGCTGTCAATTCTTTTTATCTGGTTTGGTGTGATTTTTAGGTCGCATACTTTATGTCATTAAGGACGAAATTCTGTTCAAATGTGAAACACAGGTTTGTGTCTTTTAGGAATTTAATTGAGTTTTATATTAGTTAACTTTGTTGATACTAGTGGTGTTGAAATTTGTTCGATACGTTCTTCTAAATCTTCGAATTCGAGGATTTCGCTGTCTTAAAACCTAATCCCATATTTTATTTAAAAT